AAGACTCCAAGGTCATCTGTGTGGCATCCCATCCAGTCCAGCAGCACCACCAGGGACTCCTGCTCAGTCAAATTTGTATATATATTTAGGATCTTTAGTAATACAACAAGTTTTATATCAAGTTCAAATGAGGGGTATTAGTGTTATATTTATTTGGGTGCCAGCACATATAGGGATCAAGGAAATTAAATTGCAGACAAGATTGCTAAGGAAGCATCACAAAATAAAACTATTGATATGATGATTAACTTAAGTAAGACAGAAATGAAAAGTATCATTAAACAAAGAATGAAGGAAAGGTGGCAAAAACAATGGGAAGAAGAAAGGGTAGGAAGATGGTTTTATAGGATTCAACGGTCACAGGGATAAAAGTTAGCAGTTTTATTACACTTTAAAATAGTTAAGTGATGCCTTTTTATAAACTCAGGAGAAGTGATAATTAATTGCTGTGCAATAACAGGCAACACAGAGACTGATTATTGTAATGTGAGATCTGTGTTAAATTAAAATGTATTAACGTGATCATACTGTTCTTTGGCCGTGCTGAACAGCCAATAGCAGCGTTGCTGATCATTACTACCTACTATTGACACATTTCCCCTTTTAAACCGATGCATGAACGTGCAGTTATCTCAGATAACTCAATCCAGCCATACTAATCAGAAAGGTGTGTTTGAAGAACCCAATTAGCCGGATCATGATTGGCAGGAAAAAGTCATCTTGAATGTCTCATTTGATCTCGGATATTTTAAGTAATGCCCCAGAAGAAGGCCACTGGTATGAGATTAGATAGAGCAAATTCACATAACAAAACAGACAGATCTGTTTTTCTGCGTGTTAAACAGGCTCCATCGGTACCCCATCCCATGAACCCAGAGGTGCCCAGACGTGTATAAACCTAAACCTTGTGTCAAATGTGTATAATTCTAACAATTTTCCAAATCAAACTATTGTGAAGTTAAGATAACCTATAAATTCATTTATAGTTTGTTTTCTTAAGCAGTGGTATATTCTGTTTTGCTGTATTTCACCCATTGCGTGACAATAAAGGTATTCGTATTCTGTAAATAAATATAATTATCTTCTGTATGTATTTGTTTTAGTTTAGCGAAGATGAAATTGTTCAGTCTGCAAGACATTTGCTACAGTTGGTGACATCTCCTAGAACCCATGCTGTGACGAATTAAAATACAAGGTTTAGTTGAGTATTAAGCAAAGAGTGACTTTTACAACGTCTTGCAGAGAACAGAGCCAAGGTGTCCAGTGCCACAATAGCAGTTTAATAAATCCTGAAAGAGCATCGGTCCAACAAGAAATGACCAGGTAAAAAAACAATTACTCATGTTTTTTTTTTTTGTATTTGCACAGTTTTTTTTTTTGATTGATTTTTATTTTTTTGATTGAAACAACTTTTTGGGAATTGAATGATTAAGACACAAATGTCCTATTTGGTTATCCAGCGAAGAATTTTCTCCATGGCTAAAACTAGGGAACATACATGAGGCTCAGTGTATTTTGTGCAAGAAGTAATTCAAGCTCGGAACGATGGGAGTTAAGGCAGTGGAATCGCACATGCGAAGCGCGAAACACAAAGCTTCAAAATCAAGTTATGGAGAAACAGCCGGTATTTCTCAGTTTTGTTCCACCCTTGTCTCTGCAATGCCTCCACTTTTCACCAAATCAAACATACTAAGAAAATGATACAAAGAAAAATAGATGCAAAAAAGACTTTGCACTGGTTTTCTTGTGGCTTTAAAACTGATTTGTTTTGTTCCCTTCTAAAACAAAGTTTGTGAATTCAGTTAAATAATAGTTTATATATATCTGTCATTTGTGTGTTTTTAGCTTTCTTCCTGTATGCGAAGCTTTTCAAAATTTGAAACATTAGTGCAATGGTTTATGTTATATTAAAACCTTTGGGTTAAGTTGTCGCAAGCAGGTTTTTCTTGTGTTTCTAGTGAATTTGGTCTTAAATTTTTATTTCAAGTGGCATTAAAAAGTCTTAAAAAGTCTTGAATTTAACTTGCTTTATGCTGTAGGAACCCTGTGAAAAGTTTTTTTTTTCATTGAAGTGAATATTTTTTTCTTTTTATATATATATTTTGATTGAAGCAACCTTTTTTTGATTGAATAATAAAGAAACACATCTACCTTCATACCACTGCGGAACCTTTGTGTCAAAAGTATTCAATCAAAAAAATTTCAACTTCAAAACTTTTTGCACTTCAAAAAACAAACAAAAAAAATTATTCATGGGGTAATTTTTTTTTTGCATTTGCAGTTTTTTCTTTGATTGATTTTTTTTTTTTTTTAACAACTTTTTGGGAATTAAATGATTAAGACACAAATGTCCTACCCATGTATGGCCCAAACACAAACTAGTTCCTTCAGCCAAAGAGAACATTTTCAACAATTAAAAGAAGTTTTCAAATGCAATTTTTTAAGTTTCAAATGTTTTATTTACATTTAAAAACTATTTTCTATGATTGAAAACATTTATCTTTTCAATGAAGTTACTTTTTTTATTGATTCTGTTGTTTGTTTGTTTAAAGCAACTTCCTTTTTGATCGAATAATAAAGACACAAATGTCCTACCCATTATATGGTCCAATCAAAAAACAATGTTACTTCAATTTAAAAAGTTGCTGTATACAAAAAAGACTGCACTTCTATCAAATAAAACATTTTCAATCAAAGAAAAGCAGTGTTCAAATTTATTTTTTTGAGTCTAAAATAGATTTTTGCATTCAAATACTTTTTTCTTTGAAACAGGGTTCCCGTGGGTCCTTTAAAGGAGCGTTGTTGCGGCCGGGACATTTGGGAGATGCACCATTTACTTTTTGTCTGGAAAATATGAGCAAGTGTAAATGTAACCAAAATTGTCTATCCAGCCAAGAGTTTTCTCCATGGCTAAAACCAGGGAACATACATGAGGCACGGTGTATTTTGTGCAAGAAGTCATTTAAGCTCAGAACAATGGGAATTAAGGCAGTGGAGTCGCACATGCGAAGCGCGAAACACAAAGCTTTTAACTTGCCTTATGCTGTAGGAACCCTGTGAAAAGTTTTTTGTTTATTGACGTGAAGATTTTTTTAATAGAAATTTATTTTTTGATTGAGGCAACCTTTTTTTTAATTGAATAATAAAGAAGTAAATCTACCTTCATAAAACTGTGGTCTGAACATACAATTACAGGAAGCTTTCACAGGTTTTGTATTTTGAATTAGATAAGTCCAACACTACGTACTACAATAGGATTGGAATAATATGAATATTGTTTTTTATGATTAGTTGCTATTTGCTGATAAGAACACTAATTGTGGTTTTTCTGTCTTACTCATTTTGAGGGGATGGATTGTAAAGACCTGTGACCCCAGGCACAAGACTGCAAACCATCCACTTCCGCCTGCAAAATGCTGAAGGCGGGAACCTATGACCCTGTGTTCATGCCTTTTAAAAGGACAGAGCCCTGAAGTGAAAGAACTATATTTTTGATTTTTTTAAACAGGAAAGAAGACAACACAAGTATCGATTATTATTGTATTCTGCAAATATAATCCTGATGATTGTAACATGCCATTAATTTGCATAATAACCTGTATTACTGTTTTATTATTTCACATTGTAAACCATCCATAGCTGGCTGTTTAGAGGACTACTGACTGACTTCTGACTGACTTTTAATATTAATCATGATACTCAGTAACGGTTAGTTAATGGTTTCATTTAAAGGTTGTATCTCCCAGCTCACATTCATATCAGGCGGTGTCGGTAACATTAAAGTTTGGCCCTATACTTACTTAGCAACAAAACAGTACATGCTGAAGGTCAAGTATGAGTCTTAGCAATAATAATGTCCCTAATGCCTTATTCGTATGCAATTAGATGATATATTAAAAGGTTTTGGCATAAACAGAGAACATCTGTATAAACATTCCTCCGAGTGTCAAAGCAACCTTTGGCGCTGACCAGCACACGTGAATTCCAGTAAGCTTTCGACATGATATTCATGTGCATGGGCAGTTCCGTAATGCGATGTTGAGACTATAAAACAACTGAGATGAAATGAGAGTTTTGGGGGAATAACTGAGATGTGGACGATGTAGCGCTGAATGTATGACGTGTTTAAGACAGCTGTATGAATTTGGGTTTGTAATTAAATGTTTTTAAATGTTAAGTATATTTCATATACTTAATAGTATAGTCAAGTCTACTTGACTTAGACTGAGAAGTATCCTCTTAAAACCCACCTAAGTTTAAGTAATCCTCGCCTATTTTTCATACCCAAATGGAGAAGCAAATAACTGAGGAAATGTAATCCCAAATTACATCTGTGATACATCATTTGAAACCTAACACCTTCTAATTTCTGAATTTATAAATTAAAATAGTGTGACAAATAGTGAGCCAAAACTCCATTAGTTCAAATGTGACTCAANAGCAGAGACAGGACCAATCGTCAAAATTTTGGTGTCGATCATTCGATTTCATCCTGGACACTACAGAAAATGAGCTAAAAGTGTTAAAAACCGGAATTTTCCTTTAAGATTTTTATCAGATTTTTTTCAAAAGTTTTAAAGAAAATTCAATTTGACCAAAAAGGCTTTGGTGTCATGGACCCAAAGTTTTAATATTTTAAAGAACTGAAATTTTTTAGATAGTAAGAAGCTAAAATCAGCAAACAACCGAGTTACAAAACTTAGAAAAAAAAGCTTTTCTGTAAAAACAGAACAAACTGAACATGCTTTTATTTTCATAAAGTTAGATTAATAACACTGTACTTATAAATCTTAGGGAAAAAAAAAATCTGGAGTACTACTGATCAGAAATAACTTAAAATACTTTATTAATCCCAAAGGGAAATTAAATATGTAAATAAAATTTGCACAGGATAACAAAGACGACCTGTTTATGACAGTAGAGTCACAGTAAACCCTAACAATGATTGCCCAAATTAACCAATCACTGCAGAGTTCAGCTCATTACACTGAAATACATTAAGTGCCTATTTTAACTGTTAGAACTACGTGTCAAAACACCACATTTCATATTTTGTGCAACACTGATGGATGCAGAACAAGAAGAATATGGAGATGAAGATGTGGACACAGTGACTGGATGCTCCTTAAATCTACCTCATCTATGTTAAAGTGTAGACAAACATAAAGCTTAATGCTGAAAATGTTGTGGCTCAACACTGATGAGGAGACTGGAATGGTGGGATGATGGGGAGGAGATTCATGGTAACGGTTACCTGAGTAGGATTCAAAGCTATCCAGACTGCGGCTGAGGGGGGGGGGCAAAGGAAACATCACAAGTCAGGCATTAATTCAGCTGACGGCTTCTCTGAACGACGTCATTTTCCACATAAAAAAAGTTTGATCTCATTGTTACAGGTTTTAACACAACAAACGAGATTTATGAATCTTTTCAAATAAGGTGCCGAAAGCTCAGACGCTCAGGGGTGGAGCTACTGTAGATGGGGGGCCAGGGATGGCCATGGCCCCCCTTATCCAATCGTTAGCCACCCCTGTGGCAACCCCTACCATTTTTTCCCTTCTAATACAGATGTTGGCAGCATTAATACTCTCAAGTCCAATATTCAAATCATTTTAATTTTCATACATTAACAAGTACTTGAAGAAAGAATAAAACACTCCTAATTATGCACATCAATGTACTAATATTAAAGATGATAAGTACAGAATTCATGCTCTTTTCAGAACGAGATTTTCTGTTATATGAGGAAAGAGAAAATTATGTGTCTTTGCAGACATCTAGGAGTCTTTAGTGAAATCATAGATAAATAACTATGTTAGTTAAATTGTATTAAATAATCAATGTATGTAGATATTAGTACTTGTAAATATCAATTTTATGCAGAATGATTATTGATAAAAGAAGGTAAGTAATAATGGAAAAGATGTTCGCCCAAAACTCAAACCTGAAAGAATTGTTTCCACTATACCTTTAATCTACAAAGCACGGATGTTTAAATATATGCGTCTATTTGTTAGGAAAGGCTGCAGGAAAGTATAGATTGTCTTTATTTAAAGAATATGGATGTTGTGCTAGTTAATTTTCCTGATGGAACAGTGTAGATTGACCCTAAGTTTCTGGCGACGATCCACTTTCGGCCACCCCTCAGTGTACATTGGTTATTGCCTGGCCACCCTTATAAAAATGTTCTGGCTACTCTGTAGAAGCCATATAATGATCACATCTGCATCCTCTATGAAGTCAGAGGGTTTGTTGGAGAACATTAGTGAACTATTGCATCATGTCAACCACCTTTAAAGCCCCTGTCACACCTTACGCTAAACTTTATATATTTTTTCAATTTTGGGCGTATACATAGCATATTCATAACGAGGCCAGAACTAATGTCCAACGACAGCCTAACTTATGCATAACGCACGGCAGCGTAATGCCCGTGAAATATCACGAGTCAGTGTCCTGAGGGGGGCAGTGATGCGCCCGGAGGCACGCGGTCTGCATAAAAACGCCTGCTGTTTAACGCCTGCCACAAAAAAAAGAAAGGTTTGCAGTCGCAGCAGATTTAGCGTCATGTCTATTAGGACCTTGTTGGCCGTGGGCGTGAACGCAGGGAGGATCCATCACACTCACCCTATGATGGGAATGAAGCCTGGAGGAGAACTAATGGTTTCCTCCTGGGAACTCCTCTTATACTAAAACGCTGCCAATACGCCATTAAACAGAACAAGAAGTTAGAAACACGTTCAGGAGTCGTCTGGAACACGTCAAATGCGTTGAAGATAAGTTCTTGATAAGTTATGCATAAGTTAATCATAGGTTTTGGATAAGCTAGACGCCACGACTTATGAGTAACTTACACTTAACGTATGTCAATGATCAAAGAACTTACCTGTAACTTATGGCCTGCATATGAGCCTACGCGGGCATACGTCAAGAAATATTGAGCATCCTTAAAATTTTTCAACGTACTTGCTGTTGTCGACGTGTGCCAGCGTGCTTCAGTGCGCTCATAACAAAACTGACCCATAACTTATCCAAAGTATGCCAGCGTTCGTCGGGCATATGCTGGCTAAATCGGCAAGGTGTGACAGGGGCTTAATGCAAACGTTAGCTTATACAACACCCCAAAGCTGCAAACCTACCATAGCTGCCTACCTAAAAACACAGCCTGGGAAAGGAGATTATGTATTGTAGAAGCAGCCACTACCATTTTTGCTTCTAGTAAATTTTTTTAAATTGGCGCTTCAAGAAGTCTAGTTTAACAGTTTTCCACACAGCAAGCATGGGGAAGATGCTCTTCTGATATGATATGTTAAATTACTTTGGCCCACTTAAAATCCTGCTCAGAGTTTAGGAGGAGGTGGATCAAATTAAATATACTAGATGCATTTTGAAGTAAAGTCAGTTGGAAGCTGCTGTAGACCTGAAATTGGGTGGAAAATCCACCCTCCAGCAGCTTAACAACCTTAACATTCCTGCTAAATCCACAATGAGGGGAGTTTGATTAAAAAACAAGTTTGTTTTTAATTGTACAAAGATGGGGGAGAGAGAACCTGAACCACTCTTAATGCAGGAAAAGGAGGGTTGCCACACTTTTCAGATTTTCAATCCTTAACAAAATGAGGAAAAACAAAACTTTTGTTTCCATCTTACTTTACAATAAACATGATAATTCAACTTTATTAATCAAACCCTGAAGAAATTTATCTCTGCATTTGACCCATCCACTTGGGGAGCAAAGGTCTGCCACCGTGCGGTGCCTGGGGAGCAGTGTGGGGTTAAGGGTCTTGCTCAGGAACCCAGAGTGGAGGCTGTAGGGATCGAATCAGGTATTTGCAACCAACACACTGCTCCAACCACTAGGCCAACAGTCCCAACTAGGTGCTACTTAGCATTGGACTGCTGTGCTTCTGTTTTTAAAGAGAAAAACAGTAAAAAAAAAAAAGTTTAATGCTTTTATGCTGGTGCAGGGTTAAAATTCAAACAAAACAATCCAATGGACTTTGTTTCCAAGTTTTAAGACTTTTTGCCTCCCATCTACAGCATTCTTTTTCCTTTTGTAGGCAACTTCATTCATTTATAATAAAAAAAAAAGTGCACACAATCAACCAGCAGATGGCAGCAAAGACTTAAAATTCTTCACTACTGGCTTGTGAATGGATTTCCACAGAAGTAAACAAATATCCTCCTAATTAACCTCTCCAAAAGTCCAAATCGATGGACCAACAACCTGCGTTTAATCCTTCACCCGGGTCTTAGCTCAGCATCAACATATTCAGTCTATGTACCGCAACTCGGCCCGGCGTGCAGCTTCATCTCTGCCCACACCGTGAGCGCCCTCATTAATCAAGGAGCCGGAGACTAACGGCGTCATGTCGTAATTACAGTGTGTGCAGACGAATAATCACCTGATAACGGGTCTGGAATGGAGCCTGTTAACAAACACTGAGGATCTAATTCTCTTTAGCAGGACAAGAAGGAAATAAAAACCCTAATATTAAAAACAAATACATTGCAGAATCAGAGCGCTCGTTAAAAACAGAGTAAGCTGGAGAGTTTACTACAGTGGAATCTGAGTCTTTCTCTGCAGTTACTTCAGGGTTATTTAACCGGAAGCTGAGTATCAGATGATTTCTTAATAGGAAATCACTGTAAGGGCCTGAAATAGAGCCGACAAAAACAGGGTGAGGTCAGACATCAGCATCAGCCCATAAACGGAGCTACTCTCTCCTCCCTGCTGGAGGTGAACTGAGCTGCATTTTATTATTTTGTCAGGCAAGCCCAAACTGAACCCTGCCTCTCCCTGAATAGAAGCCTTTGTTCCCAGTTAGTCCTCACTTTTATGAAACCCTCTAAATTTCTCGGCTCTCCTCACCTTGAAAACGCTTCGTCCAAACCGTCCTCCAGTTCCTGCCAGACACAAAACACACAGACGTTAGAGGAATATACGGTAAAACATGCGTACAGGCAGGACTAGCCTTCATCCCTCTTATCAAAGCCCCACACCCTCTTCTGCCATGTATGCATAAGATAAGGCCAGTTCTGTTCAATAGGCTATTGTCCACCTCAGTAGGGCTACACGTGAAGAAAATCACTCGGTAGCATTTCATCAGAATATTTCTCTTCTTCTTATCGAGCCAGAGCAGCTGAGAAGTGCCAGCCGACGCTACTTTTGTCTTACCCAAACGGTATTGTTGTTCTCTGCCGCGTGATTATGCACTGCAAAGGGATCCGATTCTGTCTGCTTTGTTCCTGAGTGGGTCTGTGCTGCTTTGGCTCCCTCTGCCAACTCCAGGAGAGTCCCAGTGGCTACATCTGCAAACACAGAACATGCCAGGTTTACTCAAAGCGATCAGGGGCAGGGATCCCACATAGAGCCGATATTAGAAGCAGGCCTTTATGAATCAGTAAAGCAGAAATGAAACTCAGCTCAACCATCTGTGGATTGTGGGCTGCAGAAGGTAACCACCTGCCTTTCCTATCTGACTTTTAGGATGACGTTAGTCCGTAATGGCCAGAGGTGTCAAGAAACAAAGTGCAATTACTTTGTTACCTTATTTACGGCAGTAGGCATTCAAAATTTCACCACTTTCCTTGATGGGCCCTTGGCTGGTCTCCTAAAATTCCTTTTTAAACATCAATCTTTGTATAAAATATTCTTTCTGTCATGACTTTTGGACATTAAGATCTGAAGAGAAGCATAATTTCCTCGTCAGACCCTGTAATTCAGAGAAAGGGAGGAGTCAGAGTAAAACAATATGTACGCCCAGGAGAAGGTCCAGTGGCTGGAAGTTGGAGGGGATTTCGCTGGAAGCTGCAGGGAAGTGGGCTGCCATTCTGTGGCGTTTGACTGGGAAGGACTATTCTTAAGGGCTGCTATTGTAAGTAGAAATTTTGGCCATCTATACTTTACTAGAGTAATTATTTTTTAGATGACCGTTTACTTCTCCTTTCATTTTTTTTTAACAATTATCTCTACTTTGTACACTTTACATTTTAAAAATAGACAAGTTAGGTTTGTTTCAGTTAAGCTCATTTTCGTTATGACCTGCTGGTAATTAAAAAGAAATGAAAATCATCATAATAAATTGCTTCATCCGGACATTAACTCATTTGTGGTTGGACTCCAAAATAAATGGTTTTTCAAGATGATGCAAAGTTAAATTTACCATTAGTTATAAAACTAAGAAAATTAAGAATAAGGAAGTTTTCATCCAGAATTGTAGAAAAATGTTCCTTTAATAGGGTAATGCAGTAAAGCTTCTGTCCTTAATTACCTGCATTAGTTTTACTTTTACACTTTAAAACTGATACAAGCTTAAGTAGATCCTCTAACTTCTACAAATATGTTTTTAAACATTAGGATTTGTACTTCTACTTGATTAATAAACATTAAGACCTCTGACACCTCTGGTAATGGCACACCCGGTGATTAATGTGTATGAACACTAATCTGGCTCCAGTAATAATGCATAGATCAGGGTTGGTTTTTAATATCCGCACCAACTAAATCCAATATGAGAGGCAATCTGCCCAGCGGGAATATCTGCTAATCCTTTTCACTGCCAGACTACATGGTGACTTACAAAAAATTAACTTCACAGATTGACTTCATTCTGTTGCAGTGTTTCAGAGTCAATATTAAAGTTGCTCAGTAATGCACACATTTCCTTCTTTGCAATCATCCTAGTGCAAAATGGAAACAATGAAGATTCCTTCACCAAATTCCACATCTTTCCAGAATAACATCTGTAAATGTTTTTGCTTTTACAACCTTGTGGACATCTGAAAAGCATTTATTGCTCCATCTGGAGCAACTATTTAGCTTCATGTCAGATAAATCAAATCTGCACCAGATTAAATGGAGACTCATGAAATTACAGATTTTTCTGTGTGTAAAAATCTGATATTATTTACTCTTGTGCATTATGTGCCAGTTTTCCATAGTTTGTCTTCAGTTTCCTTTGATTCTGTTCTTTTCCCAAAATCATTATTTTTCATTTGAAGTATTTGGACGTTTTTATTTAAAAGAAATCAATCAATAAGGTGAAGGAGGGAAAAAAATGTCTGATTCTGATGTTTCTGAAGTTTCTGGTATCTGAGAGAAATTATCCCCGTATTCCAATTTCTATATGAAATATTATATTGAAAGGAAAAAAAAATATCCTTAAACGGATACAAAGCTTGACATTCAGCCGTATGTCGAGGCAGAGATTTAGTTAGAAAGAAGATACTCCAGCGGGAGCAATCCCCCGGCAATTAGGCATAAACAGGATGTGCGATAAATCCGAGCCAGAGTGAGGGACACTGCACCAAGTGAGAGTTGAAGGTATCATGTCACATCAATAAAGCTGACTCACCTTTCAGCGGCGCCGCTGTTATTTGATCAGCCACAGGGAACGGTACCAATGTAAAAGCTCTGCATTCCCCAACCTCAATTTCAGAGGATTGCTTTGCCTATTTTCCAGCAATCACTCAAAAGCTTCTTGCTACAGTACAATTATGTCAATTTGCCTTGAGAAAATTCCTTTCCTCTGGCAACCGGGTGACCCGACAAGTCTAAATGTGTTGACGCAGGGCCTCTGCCTTTAACAGAAAAAAAAAAAAAAGCAAGTTCAAGGTTTGCTTCTCGAGGGATCATCCCAAAAAATCTCCACGTGTCGTGAAACGTTTCACATTTAGGGCCACATGTAGTGTCAGCAGGGATTTAACACAGAGATGTCTCTCTGGCTGGAGCCCAGCTGGCTGAGCGGAGGATGGAGCTCGGAATCGGAATCTAGATAAGTCATTTTTTCTTAAAATAAGTGCATTTTTCTTGGATTGAGGAGGTAAAAGAGACGTTTTGCTAATGGAGCAAGACACTTTACACTTAAAATAAGAAAACACAATTGCATTTTCTTATTTCAAGTGCATATTATCTAATTATCTTATTTTAAGAGTAAAAATACTCATTCCATTGGCAAACCATATCATTTATCTACTCAAATTAGGAGAAAACACACTTCATTTTTGCCGTGCAGTTCAGATAAATACAAACTCCATCATCTTAATCTGGATCAGTAGATGTCTACATTAGGGCTGCATCTAATTCAGATCAAACATGCTCAGTTTTTTCTTTTTAAACAGATAATAGCTCTCTTACCGTCATGGGAATTACTGAGGTGGGATTTATTCCAGCGGCCTTTGATGTTTTCACGTTACAGAAGCGATTATCATCAAAACATGATCACCTTAAACTGTCACTTCCTGTTCAGATTAATGACGTTTTACCATGAGAATCCAGCTGACCTCCGGCTTGGATGTAGGTCAACATTTTTACCAAGTGGCTGAACAACTCCCCCCCACCCCAGAGGACATGAACGCTGTGACAGGGAGGGTGAGAAAGAAGCGATGATGGGCGAAAAAACCCCACCTCCTCCCTTCGAGCTGCCCAGGCTGGTGGAGCTGTCCGACTGAGAGCTGCTGGCTCCTTCCACGTCCGAGTTGGGTTTTACTCGCTTCTCTTTCTCTGTGAACAAGAAGGAGAAGTCAGCGAAGGTCAACAAAAAAAAAAAAAAATCAGGACTTTTACTGCTTCCTTTACACTTCAAAAAATAAAATGCATATCCAGTGAATCTTTTTTTTCTCCCAAATTTTAGACTTGTGAAACTTCATCATGCATATGCTTCGAAACTGTACCCTACTTTTTTAGCTTTATCCCTATTAAATACATAAAAGTTTGTGGTAATAATGTGAGAAAATAAAGAAATGCTTTAAGAGAATGAATACTTTTGCAAAAATGCAAAACAGCATTGGGCATTGAGCAACTTGAGCCTCCAGCAGAGGTCCCACCCACTGCCTCTGCTGAGTATACAGACGTTTCAGTACATGTGGTCAGAGGTTAGGAAATCTTAGTTGCGGTATCCTGATGAGACGTCTGTAGGTTAAGTGCTAAACACCAACACTTAGAACTGACAGCAGTCCCCAGACTTCCTGGACGGCTACTGTTACACCTCATGTTGCAAAGCAGCTTAAGGTCTGGATTATCACCATTCTACACAACGCCTGGCATGAATGGCACCAAAGTTGAGCAGAGGTTGAGACTTTTCTCCCAGAGGACAAAGGACTATTCATAGCACCAAGCTGGACAATGCATTTGCACAACACTCCGCCGTGCTGACTTCATGATGGATTATGTATTGTTTTTCTCCTACAGTCTGGTGGGGACATCTAAAGGGCAAACAATATGGCAGCAGCAGCAGCTGTGTTTAAGGGTGAAAGGTTAGATTTTCAACTGATACAGTTTGATGTTTTTTTTTAGTTGTTGTTGATGAGTGGAAAACATTGAGCAATCAAATGCCATCTATGCTGCGCATGTTTGCAACGGTTGTAGAATTGAACAAAGTGCATCCAAAATACTGCAGCAATGAGTCAATAGTACAGTAACTGATGTTGCAATGGGAGCTTAATCTCTGCACTGGTACAGATTCACTTATCTCAGCCTCCAGGATGCCTAAACTTAAAGTGAAACTGACAGCAGGACCTACTTTCTGATTCATTTGGCTGAATATTATATACTACTTAAGGGATGTGATACAGAGACCAATCCGACCTGTGTTCCTTTGCCACATCTCTCCCCCTCTCTCATACAGCTTTTCCTGTCAGCCTACTGTCAGAAAAACGGGCCACTGGTGCCATAAATAAAAAAATAAAAAACATCCAAAAGTTCAACTGAACATGTGAAAAATATAAAAGTCGAATACTCTGCCTAAGACGATTTACGACAGAAAAACATCAAAAGCAGCACATACTTCAAAGATGCAACTGAACCTGCTGTCCCCATTGATCTATATTTATTCTCTGGATAACCGATAGGCCGAAAACTTGACGTCACTTGCCACCATCTTGATACTCCCTACTCTTAAGGAGCCGCACCATAAACATGCCGAAGTCCGTAGCATTTGGCTGCAACAATAAGCACTTTTCTGGCTCTGGGAATATATTTCACAGGTAATTCAGTAAATGTACTAATAGTATTATACTGATGAAAAAAAACTGCTTTGAAGTTTATATTCTAAATATCTAAGTACAGTATTTTTATGCTCCATTAACACACTAACTTTGTTGTGATGGATTTGTATAATATGTTATATTACATGATTTATAGACTTCATACTGATTATGCAATGTCATTTCTTAAGCGCCCCTAAAAATGAGAAAATCATCATTGCTTGATGCTTTAGTGCACACATTTTTTTACATTCCGACTAGACGGAAGCTATGGAGTACCAATATGGCGGCTTTCGACCTCATAGCAATGTGTACTAGCAACAGATATTTAGGGAATAAACAGAGATCAGTCCCCCCACCCAAAAAAAGAAAAAAAGTTTTAAACAGCTTATTTCGAATTTTATTTTAGACTTTCTTTTATTAATAGTATCTGTTTTATTAGCTGAAAATGTCTGTATGTTCACATATACATCTAAATATAGTTGTTTTTGAGTTTACAAGTTTATATACCTTCCATTAAAGACAGAAAACATTCAGGTGCTCTTAAAGTAAATTGAGATTGACAAAAGCAATTATAAAATAATAAAGAAATTATTGAAATTATATATGCACATAAATATGTATATATTATATAGTAAATATATAAGGCTGGATTGATGTTTAATGATTTTACAGCCTGTTTAATCTAATGCTTTTACGATGTAAGGGACTTTCGCTGCCAGAATGTGCTACAAAAAATAGATTTTTACTTCTTTTACTTATTACTGAAGCAGATCCTTACATTTTTAGACAAATCGAAAAAAAGGAAAAACTTTTGTTCTTTATATCCTAAAAAAACTACAGGTATAACAAAGGCTGTGTCCGAACGTTTACGCCATATCCCTTTATAGGGCGGGGACTCTATAGTGAACTCAGTTAACTGACCGTTGGGAGAGATGATCACTATCCGTTGGTCAGGCGTGTCTGCCTGCACGGTGCCTTTGGTATCTTTATTTGTCAAGTAGAGCTCTCCCAAAGCATTCTGGGATATATATGCTCTTCTAATGACCATGAATGCTTTTCAAGGTTCATTGTGGGAAATTTCAAGTCCACTATTTTTTCATTCACTAGACGTTCTGACACTCATCTAAAATAGCATAACTACTATAAAGTGCCCTATATAGTAATTAGGGCGGACACTCGGACACACCCAATGTTTATTGATCCTCAACTCTTATCGATCCTGCAGCATTAGCAGCCTTCAGTTTCACACCTGAGTGAGTCGTTCTCATTTTATAGCAGTTTTTGTTCAATGCAACAGACCAAAGCAGCAGTGTAAGCCATCAACAGTTCTGCACCCAATTTAAGCACTAATGGTTGCTAATAATGACGAAGTGATGGCTAGAGATCAAACTGGTGGTTTTCAACCAGCAGGGTGCAGCTTCGAGGATATGGAAACCCAGATTTATATTAGATAATTGATGAGAAGTTATTTATTTATTCTAGAGGTCTGGATCTAGGGTCATTTTTCACTAATTTGCAGCTTAGCATTACTGTATTCTAACGCCTAATGGAGTTTAAAATACTACATTTTGAGAAAAAAAAAAGTCCCAGCTCACCACTGTTCTTAGAAGCATTTAGTTTCACACCACCTAAGTGAGCACTTTTAAAGCAGTTACACAGTTCTCTATTGATATTAGTCATGCAAGCTGTCTGGGTCAAATTACCGGAAACAAGCTCTTAGCATGAAGACAAACACTGTCTCCAAGCTCAAACTCGATGAAGACTTCTGTAAGGTTTTTAATTTTATTTTTTACTGGTCAGAAATAGTTTTTGTGGTTCATAGCCTGAGTGTTTTATTTTCTCTTAACAGGCTGTGATTGTTTGCTTACAGTAGCTATAAGCCCTGCAAGGCTACAGCGGGGAAATGTATTTATTTATTTAATAACCACCCGTCATTTATTAGAAAATAAAAAAATTCCCCTGAGTCACTGTAGCTTAGCAATGATAACACATAACAAGTTCCCCCAGAGGCCTTAAAGCTCCCTTCCTGCTGTACTAAACATGAAGCTGCTGTAAACACTGTCTCCAGCCTGCTGTAATGTTTATAGAGAATATTCTATCAGCACGGCTTTGAGAACAAAGTTGGGAGATGTAAAATACGGAGGAATGTGGGTCAAGCATGAGCGTTGTCCTGAGGAGAACCACAGTGGGTGGTGCAGGAGGAGAAAACCAGACGGTGGATCTCATCTTCCTCCCCGTCTTAATCCTTAGGGGTCCAGACTCAAAGGACTGCTTTAGGGCTCCGTTTACCAAGAAACTTTAATTGCAATAGACTGATTTTACTTCCCCTATGTTTGGAGGATGAAATAGGGGTAAATTTGAGACATTTTGCGTGTGAAATAGTTAAAAGTTTGCATTAAATTCTCCTTTTTTTTTCAAACATTTAGACGAAAATAAAACACCAGACGAAAAGGAAATTGAGGAACCCTGGCCCTGATGTAAACAAACCAATGAAAAAACATTATATTAATAAAAATGTACTAAAATCAACACATCAGAAGACAAGATGGTAGAAATGTTGCTTTTCCTTCAAAGCAGACGCGCCTCTCTGAAAGAAACGCATAAATAAGCGTTCATGTGTGACGGGAACCATGGCACTGACATTCAATGTGTCATGGAGCTGAGCTTCTACTCACACAGGCATACAATTATTTGACTTTCTCTCAACGGCCCTCGTGCAACAGCCTTTTCGCATTTCGCTACCCAGGATGAGGACCAACAATAGGAACGCGGACTCCCCAATAATCACTGAACTCAGAAGCCCAACACGGTAACATACATGCCAAAAAAAATAAGAAAAAAAAACAAATCAGTAAAGTGAGGGGTGTGGCCGCTGAAACGAAATGCTCACATACACATCAGAGTCAACCAGTAAATTACACACAGGCTCTGCTAGGCTTCAGGAAAAGGACTGAGCTGCTGCTTTTAGCCAAACTCCGACTGTCTGCTGCTTAATATGAAAGCTCCAGCTAGACTGACATAAAACATGCATGAATGTACGAGGAGGAGGAATGAATTGTGTGTTTTCACTCGCTGGAACATCGACATTCAATCAATGTTTTTTATATCCAGATCTGAATGTCACCTCTACAAAGTGGTTGAAAGCTTTTATTCTGACATTTTAACAGTTAAAAACAAGGAGACTGTCTAATTTTTTAAAGGGTTTTTTTGTTTTTACAGCACTAGTGGCTCTGGACAGTAGGCTGACAAGAAAAGGCGGTATGAGAGAGGGGGAGAAACATGCGGCAAAGGACCTCAGGTCGGATTCCAACCCAGGTCGGCTGCTTCGAGGACTAAGGCCTCCATACATGGGTCGTGTCCGCCAACCACTGCGCCACCAAAGGACGCCCAGGGTTTTAAAATTTTAAACATTTTAAAGTCCATCAATGCCTAGTTAGAAAGATAATTCAGAGACCACCCTGACAGATCATTAATGCTGGATATTCCTCCTTAAAAACTTTAAAAGCTGGCCCATTAAATAAAATCCCGATGGTTAAAGTGCTTTAAATGGTTTAAAGTAGAGCTCTTTTCTTAAATAAAAAAAGGCACTGGTTCATCAGGGACCCGTTAACCATTTGTTTACCGTTTTAAACTATTGGTTTAGTAACTTAGAGCAATTAGTGGAAATAGGCTAGCAGAGGTCGGGTAGGACGTCTGTGGGATAAGCAGCCTTTACTTTGAGGAGTGGAAGCCTCACTGCAAGAAGGAAACATGAACCCTGAGAGGAATCATTTTAAAGCCAAACTGAATCAGCTACTAAAGGAGGACAGGATTAATGCCTCCATTTCCTGCTTTGATAATAATGCATTTTGTTGTTCTTGTCTTTTATTTGCTTTTTTAAAACCCGGTATTGAAAATGCTCGAGTGAGAGCTGACATCTTAAATCAGCTTAAACTTTGAAATGTTCAGTATGCTGTCTAAAAAAACCTGAACTATTATATAAAATAAAAACAATGTTGTCTGACACCAACTCATTCCAACTGTTCAGCACGGTGGTGAAGGGGGGATGCTTAGGGCTTATTTTCTGCCCCTGGAACAAGTCTGTATCCAAATCAATCTAGAGACAAAGATGAGGCTTTGTTTTTAACAGCTGAAGCTGAGCTTAAACTGAGATTATTACGGCAGAAACAACAGAACACCTAAAACAATATAAAACTAACTAAAACAACTGGAAACCAGGCGTTAACCTCAATGAAATGCTGAGGTTGGGGCTCTGAAGACACTCGTGCATTTACACAGGCCTGCAAAAATCAGTGAACTGAAGCAAATGCAATACGATAAATGTATCTGTATGAGAACCTGGTAAAGATAAACACTAATAGGATTTTCAGCACCATTGTGAAATAGTTTCCTTTCAATAGCTCATGCAGAAGAGCAATCAAAGCAATGCAAAGAGTTTTATTTAGGCTACAAACCACTGAGCAACAAATAAATAAACCCCTAGAGCTGAATAGAATATTGACATTTTAGCACTTGCATTGCTCTGGTTTTAATGCACAAGAGACAACAGCTTAAATCAGGAAGTTTGATCCATGAATGTCTTTCCATACTTTTTAAATTTTAGTCCAGACCTAATCATAGCCTAAATGACTCTCTGTTCTATGGTTAACTAGTCTCCAAGTTTTTCCGAGTTGACATGATATCTCTGCTTCTGTCTCCTTGAACCCCAGTCGGCCTCGGCAGATGGCCGCTCACACTGAGCCTGGTGGTTGCTGGAGGTTTCTTCCTGTTAAAAGGGAGTTTTCATCTCCACTGTCGCTACAAGCATGCTTAGTGTGAGCGATTGCATTCGAGTTAATGAGCCAATGCAATCAAAACTGAAACTAAACTGAATTGAATTAAATAACCTCGGAATAAAGAAGGAGATGTGTCCCTAATGAAGGGTTTTTCACTCATTTATCATTAGGAAGTTGTCGAGGGCAACCATACGTACCTTCCTTGGTGGCTTGCCAGAACTCAAACGCCACTCTGAAAGCCTGAGCGACTGTCAGAGTGACGGCCTGCGCCTGTTAGGACAGACAGAGGTCAGTCAGGGAGGAATAACACAGCAGGCATCTCATCAACAGCGTGGGAGCGGCCGTTCTGACACAAATAAAGGAGGCTTCATCTGAGATACTTGAAGAGAGGGAAGAGAAACCAGCAGATTCCAAGATCAGTTGTTTGAGAGACTGGGAGGATATGTGGCCTTTTTCTCCACGGCTAAATTAGTGAGAGGAAGGAAGAAGAGGGAGTGGTGCCGTCATTCAGAAAACCTCCAGGGATGTGAGAAGGCCAAGAGTGTCACAGCCTCCTCCACCTTCTTCTGACTCCACACTTACTGCTTTGCATGGTGAAAATCTAAGTATCAGTATGTAGCAGTGGAGGAGTGTTATCTATGCTGGCAGCTAGAATGTTCTCCTCTTAGTGTTTATGACTCATTTCCTTTTCTTACGGTCAACATGTTAACGTTTCTGAGTGCTCCCACTCATAGAGGCCTTAAAGGCAAGCTTGGTTACTTTCAGGGAAAAGGTTTTAGTCTTAAACAAAACAAAAGCAACATAATCATAGGCTCTAGTACAGGGGTAACCAATTGAAAATCAGCTGGGTCTGAATAAAGAAAATCATCAATTTTTAACAGAATTTAACACTGAAATAAAATACAGGTGTTTATGCAGAGACGTAGGCTCTGAGGAGCCTTACATTTTTGGTGCAGCCATGGACGAAATTTTGTTTTCAGAAGTGGGGGGACCTATTTTTTGATATAAAGATGGTGGACCAATCAGGAGCTTGTGGGCGGTCTAAAGGGAAGCGGGCTTCAGCTTAGGCTGTGGTTTTCCACTTGGTCCTAGTGCTCGACGAATGTCTGTGTACTGTAGCGTAACGTTGTTTTTGGACAGGAAAATGTGCAGGAGACAAAAACGCACGTTTGAAAAACTGCAGGGGATATGCCCCCCCTCGTTCCCCCCCCAAATTACGTCCATGGGTGCAGCAATATAATGGAAATTCTGTGTTCATTTTCCAGCAGGACTTGGACCCCTGGCAACAGCGTCATAAGTACCAATACTTGCTTTAATCCTGGTCATATCATTGCACTTGATAGGGAAAAAAACTGAGCTTCTGAGTACATATACTGCATAGTAATTAGAGTTTTTTAATATATTTATTTTTATTTTATTTGTTTTAAGCAGGATTTTAATTCTCCGAGAAATTAAATTCTTAATTTTTAAGTTTTCCTAATATGTTCTCAACAAATGTAACAGTAATAAACACTTGGAAACACAGAGAAATGATTCAGAGAATTGACTTACTGACATAAATGAATTTTTCATGTTCTGGTTTACTGAGATGAGCTTGTTCTGCTGCAACATGCTGGACTGGAACAGGGTGTTGTTCAAGCACAGACCTAAATGCTCACCATTTTTCTCTTTGAGCAGAGGTAGGCGTGGCACTCGAGGGTCTCGTTGTGCTGGTTCTGGACGATGTAGGCAAACACTTTGTCGTGCATCTTGTCGGCAGTGCAATACGATATTCTGACAAAGAGATGCACACATGCAAACACTTTAATACAATTACAGAGGTTGGACATCATCTGAGCCAGCAACATTTATGAGGTCATAGTTTTTGGATCAGACCTAGTTTTTTTAACAGTACAAGAACAATCTCATGCACATAGAGGTGCAGGAGATGTTTTTTAATATTATTGGGGAAGTGGATGTGCCCTTTCTGCATCATGTGAGGGTAATCAGGTCTGCTCATCAGCCCCAGGTGCAGACTCAGCTTTTAAATCAAGAAATAATGGCTGACAAATAGCTTTTCTCCATCATTTCAGCATGATATCAAAGCCATGAGCTCAGTGCCAGGGCCAGCAAAACAAGAAGGATCTCTATAAACCTCTGCCCTCCTTGTTCTGACAGCCACTGTGCGGCGAATCCTGGAGGGTATCAACCAACAAAATGAGAGGGATCTGAAATGTGGTCTGAGCAACATGATTTACAGCTGATCTTTAAGTTGGACGGCGCTAGGGAGACTGGAAATAACAAGAAACTATTATTTTTCGAGTAAACGTTTAAAGAGCAACACTGCAGTCGATTCTGAGCAGCTGTTTTAGGTTTCTACACAATGAAGGAGTCACTGCTGGACACACCCCTAACGCAATCTGATATGAATTGCATTTAAAAAGAACTGCATTTCTGAGCAAATGCATACGGTAGTTTGGTCACTTGGAAAATTACCAGCTTCCATTGCAGGTAAAGGATTTTCAGGGTAGAGGCTCACAGGTGGGAAAAAACAGGATGTAATTATTGTTTTTTTGGCCAAATTCTGATCTGCTGTTAGATTTAGTAATATTCTCTCTAAACATTAGATAATATAAATAGTCTTTAGTATCTCATATTAGCAAATAAAGTGGTTAGCATTACTAATGCATGTTGTAAACATTATTTGTATAATAAAGTGGTTGATGACTTGGAAAAAAATTAAAACTGATCATCTTTGCAATACTCCATTCAGCCTGTTATATTTTTCAAACATTGCTTTCCCTAACAGCCTGAATTATCCGTCACTGACAGGAAGGGGGCATTCAATGAACAGAAATTGGTTTTATCAGTTAGCGATAAGGCAAGTTAGTAACTAGGTAAAACTTTCCTTTTTGATAAAGCTTTTAGTTAGAGTGGCTCAGGTTATCCTGAACTATCTCTATAGTTATGCTGCTATAGGCTTAGACTGCTGGAGGACATAGGGACCCCCATTTCATCTTTCTGTCTTATTCTCCCACTCTGCAGAATCTGTTATTCCAATCTCTAATGTTCTGCTCTCTCTGCTTTTTCTCATAGTAGCTTCATCTGGTCTGTTCCTGTTTGGCTGTGACTTCATCCTGGAGAGAAATATCAGCTGTGCTGCTGCCATCAACACCTTTGTTTATACCATAAAAATTAAAAAAATATCCACTGGACTCGGTTTCCAAGATTTGAAGACGTTTCGCCACCTCTCCAGGAAGCTTTCTCAATTCAAAAGTCCAATGTGAGAAAGCTTCCTGGAGAGGTGGCGAAACGTCTTCAAATCTTGGAAACCGAGTCCAGTGGATATTTTTTGAATTTTTACGGAATGACTATGACCTGGATGACTGAGAACCTTCATCAGCACACCCTTGTTTATAGATGCTGTAGATCAGCTGTTTTCCAGTGTAGTCCTGTTTCTCTGACTGTGACTAACTGGATGTGCTCTCTTTATCCTCTGACATGGCAGCTGGCTCGGAGCTCGTCTGCCTGGCTGTGTGTTTCCTGGACGGGGCCGCCTTTTCCAGCTGCTTTTTGTATCTCTGCTTCTGTCCAGTCGGCCTCAGCAGATGGCCGCTCACACTGATCCTGGTTCTGTTGGAGGTTTCTTCCTGTTAAAAGGGAGTTTTTCCTCTCCACTGTCGCTACAACCATGCTTAGTGTGAGGGTTTACCTTGGAGTCAATGAGTCGATGCAATCAGCTGATTTTCCTTAGATAGAAAATCAATCAACCTGACTGGATGATCTGGTTGATTTGTAAAGTGCCTTGAGGTGACATGTACTGTGAATTGGGGCTATATAAATAAACAGAATTGAATGGTGAAGGGAAAATAAATCACCCCATCCTAGTCAGCAAACTATTGTTGTACTTTTCAGATAAAAAAAAATAAACTTATACCAAACCTCATAATTCTTATAATGAAAAACATCAGAAAACGAAACTAAAACAGAGTAAGCAGGGACATTCTCAGAAAAAATAAGGATTAGTGCCATATTTTCTTGATCTGTAGCCTCATAAAAGTGGATTTAGTTAGAAGTTGTTGAAGCCAAGCTCCTCAGTTCATAAACCAGACCTACAGGCTGAGGCAGGTGAGTTTTTAACAAGAAAAGACAGATGTGGTCCTCTGTGACACCTGGGGTGAAAGTTCAGACCTACAGCTGCTGCAGCTCCAGAGGGAGTTAAAAAAAACAGCTGGGAGGGAAACTATTCATCCTCTTTACGCAGATATACCACACAGCCAGCGAGTGATTAATGGCAGCCAGACGGGAAGAAGAGCTCTGCTTTAGTACAGGGTGATCGGGTCACAGGATAGCTGACCTGTATATGGAGACATTTTCTATCAGCTGGTTTGAGGCACTGTCGTAAAGGATGATTCCACGCGGCGAGACCGTTAGCGTGACTTTCTGGAGCTTCTTCCCACTGGCTTTGGCCTGCAAACAAGACAGCGAGGAGACGGGGGGAAAGGGTGGATTTAACAGAGGAGACAATAGAGGGTGTGAGAGCGAGAGAACAACATAAATCTGCATCTCTATGATTCAAATGTGGAGGAGCTAATTGGTGGAAAACCACCACAGAGATGAACTAAACCTGCCTGATTTCATCAAGCCTTTCATAATGATTGGACATTTAAGAAGCAAAACAAATGTTACAGAGAGAAGAAGGAGGCGTCTGACTGCGGCAGCTTTTCCATTCTCACATCCTTTCTTATAAACTAGACCTCACCGATAAACAAAAGGTCTTTTCTATCCTATTATCACAAATGGAAATGTTTTTTTATCAGAACCAGATATTGTAGTTAAGTACAGCTGGGTCTGGTGCAGAACAAAGCAGAATAATAATATCATTTACATTCAGTCCTACAATGGATTATTGTGTGAACTTTCACTTATTTCTTTTTTTTAATTCAAACATTTGATCTCTTTTTATTACAATCCTTTATCTGAATTCTTTTTTGGCTATATTTTCTTTTATTTCGCCCATGTGCAGCATTTTATCTGGACACTGATATCTGCTATAGAAATGAACTTCCATCATGTCCATGGATGGTTCTCTACAGGGGCCAACGGGGCCCAGTGCCCCTGTAGATCATGTCCTGGCCCCTGCTATGGCCCCTGCACTGAAGACATAATACTATAAGAAATTCGAATGATGATATGTGCTGAACAGACATGGTTACTGATAGGACCTTTGGATTTATTTCATTTTTTTCTTTACAAATTCTGTTTTACTAAGTATTAAAAAACAATAAGGTGATAAATTCAGTGGTATTGAGATAGGATCCCAGTTTTCATCTGCTAAATGTTTTTTTCGAAAAATGTTTTTTAAAAATACTAAAATTTTTACAGTTGAATTTATCAGTTTTTCTTGAGTTCTAATTCAGATTTTATAGAAAATTTAAATTTTCAATCAAAAATATGTAAAATTCCTAAATTATGAATGCATATTGACATAATAAGACATAGAATTTCACTTCATGCATCTTAATATATCTGATTGCCCTGTTTTTTATTTCAGGCTTTTCTGTGTCCCCATGAAAACATGCTGTGAACTACGGTGGAAGTACGGTCATGCTGTGGGCCTTTCCCTAAATAAATAAATATCATCAAATGAAAAGCTACTTTTTTCCAGAGAGAGATTATATAACTGTGATACTAGATGCTTTCATTTCAAGGCTTTTCGCACGCTTGCCAATATGGAGGGCTTTATATTAAAACCATTATGTAAAACTATTCTATAAAGCCTATAATCCCAAAGCCTAAGCCTTAGTATTCATCAAAATGTCAGAAAACATACCAGATTAGCCATAATCTGCTTTAGAAGGGACATCAGATAGCAGATTAGGCTAAATCAGTTCCCTCTACATGCATCATTATCTCTTTAATAAAAATCTGAACATTGTGTGTCACTAAGTTTATTAATCTGAGCCGTCAGGTCCTGCAGAATGAAACTTTAAGACTCCACACTAATCGTCTCCTTTTTCTAAAGAGTCAACTGGAGAGGCAGAAGATGAGAATATTATCAGTGCTTGACAGAAACTCGTCTTCTGCAGGGAAGTTATATAATAGGAGGAGGTTTAGGAGCTCTTCACCGTGGCAACTATCCTCTTGACGGCGGCAGCGGAAAGCTCCTCCCCTTTGGGCTGCTCCACCATCGTCACCCCCAGGTATTTGAGGTGAAACACCATGCCCTCCACCAGGGTCTCCCTCGTGTCCGTCCAGTTCTCTGAAAGCTCTGCAGGATGAAAACAAAAACAGAGCATGAAAACTCCAGATCACATCCAAATAACTAAAAACCTTTCAATGAATAGCTTGGTGGCGTTACTAGTAGGGCTGTCCTCTCCTCATCGGATATGAAAATGGAAATCGGTCTGACATCAGCCAAAAAATAAATATCTGAATATAAAGACTACCGGTATATAAAAACCACATAGAAATACTTCACTTATGCTTTTTATTTACGTAACTCTCTGGTGAATAAGAAATTAGTCAGTTTTTTTCATACCTGATTAATATCTCAAAGCTGCAATATCGGTATCATTTTTGAGATGAAAAAGTTTTACTGGGAAAACCCCAGTTACCAGAAACTAGCGGCTACATTTCTGGATCTGACTGATCTTTTCTTGATCAGTTCTGATCGTTAGGGAGATGAAATACAGAATAAAACTGTATTTAATGACCATATTAACTAGTCATTAAATATTTCATCCATTTTCCGTCACGCTTCATCCCAGCTGGGGTCATGAGGGGTGCTGGTGTCTATCTCCAGCTGTCTACGGGCGAGAGGCGGGGTCCACCCTGGACAGGTCGCCAGTCCATCGCAGAGCAACACAGAGACAAACAACCATTCACACACAATCACACATAAGGAGAATTTAGAGACACCAATCAACCTAACAGTCATGTTTTTGGACTATGGGACGAAGCAGGAGTACCCAGAGAGAACCCACGCATGCTCAGGGAGAACATGCAAACTCCATGCAGAAAGACTCGGAATCAAACCTGGGACCTTCTTGCTGCAAGGCAGCAGTGCTACCCACTGTTCCACTGAACAGCCCTAAATACATCATAGAAAGGAAAAAAAAACACACACACACCAGAAACCTGAACTTTGTTTGATACACTTATCTGAGGTTAATAAAGATGAGATTGAAGCATAAATAAATAATCTCTTAATTTCTTGATTTTTTATTAGATTTAAAAACAGCTGACTTTATTGTGGAACCTTTTAGAGGTTATATCATTTGGAACAACTCTTGTTTCTTACTAGTAATCCAAAGATTTGCTAAATTAAGGCCAGGGCAGATTAAAACTGATCTGATTAGGTAATCTGACCCTAAACATAATTTAATCTGAAAACTGTCAAAACCTTTTACACTTGGTTCAACTGGAAACGATCAGAAGATCCAAATAGTTTAGTTGAATTAACTGAAATAATAAAAAAAAAAACATTTCTTAAGGAGATGTGGATCACATGGCTTCTTCAGCTCGTCCTGTTTGGATAAAACTGCTGAGTCGTTCAAAATCTGGGATTTTTTTTAGATTCTTTTGCAATTAAATGTTCACAATGTTTGTTTTAAATGTTCCCTTGGCCAATAAACTCCCACTAACCTCTTTAAGCAAACACTTCATCTCCATCTCCCCTCCCTTTAGAAATCACTACTTCCCTCCAATCACTCCCTGTAATATATTTAGCAAGTAAATATCATCAGAAGCCCCGCTTGGCTCTGTTAAACCAGCAGGAAGGGGCTCCCCCAGGCTCTCCGCTTCACTGTTACGTCTGCAGCTTCTGAAGACGACTACTGCAAAGAGAGGCGAATCCTAAACGATGCTTGGAGGCAGCTCATCATGTCAAGCATGAGCGCTTGATCAGGTTTAAAAGCAAACATTTAACTGCCTTATTAAAACTAGAAACAGAACCACAAATCATTTGCTTCCACATAAAAGCTTCAAACCATGACGTTCTCTGAAGCTTAGAAAAGGTTTAAAGCCTTTTTAGGATGTTGTGTGATTGAGTGACGGGCAGAGGGAGTCCATTTGGCTTTATTTTCTTTCTTTTTTTAACAGACAGCGCCATCCGCTTGCCTGCTTGGCCTCTTAAATCAAACTTTGATTCCATGCTTTATCATTTTCACATGTATCAAGGATTCAGCTACTTAAAAGAAAGCACCTTGTCTGCCGTTTGATCCCTTTTTAAACAAAAGATGTTTAACGTTTTCTGTATGGTCCACAATATTTAGCAAAACCTTGAAACAGAAAAACAGCCACGGCTTAGCTCACATCAACAAACTGGTCCCAGTTGTTCAGCCAAGAACAAACCCAGAACACCAACAGTAAATCAGTGAGGATCAAAACACAGATCTAGAGATGGAGCGATGGGATTTTGGGTTGATTTTAGTGTTTTTATCTTATGTGGCAGACATGTTCACAAGTCATTTTATGCAAGTCCAAGTCAAGTCTCAAGTCTTGAGAGCTCAAGTCCAAGTCAAGTCTCAAGTCTTGAGAGCTCAAGTCCAAGTCAAGTCTCAAGTCTTGAGAGCTCAAGTCCAAGTCAAGTCTCAAGTCTATTTGTTTCTGTCATATTTATATTACGGCTTCTGTAATATTTATTATAACTGGATCAGTTTTATCATGTAAAGAAATAAATCTTAATATCAGCCTTAAGAATCGTCCCAAATATAAATCTGCATCACATATCTTGGATAGGTGAGACCAGAGCTCTGCAGCTACTTATATTGATTAAAAATGATACAAATAACTGTTTAATGTACTGTAATAACAAATAACAGTCTTAGAAGCTTCAGGTTTTTTTTTTAATAAAGAATATTTAAATTGAATTTACACAACAGAATTATGTTAAAAGTTTTAAGAGCTATGTACCTTTTAATTGTTTTGGAAATTACATTTTTCTTCTTACATTAAATATTATCCTATAGAAGAAAATAAATGCTACATCTTTATTAATTATTTTATGTTTTTCCCCTTTTTAAACTCTAAAAATACAAATAAACTGTTGGTTGTTTAAGATGGCAACAGATATTTAACAAACATAATAAGTAATACTCATGAGAACTTAGATTGATGTCTAAATAATCTGCATAGGGCTTTTAAAAAAAACCTCAATCTGGATGAAAAACATCAATCCCCATCATTATCTTCAAGATCTGTCTTCATTTCTTAACTCACGAGACTACGTGATAGAAAGGAAATAGTCAAATTATTTTGAGTTGTTTTTGTGAGTCGATATAAATGTAAATCAAGCACAAATTTAAGAGTTTTTTTGTGATAAAGCAGGTGATTTATATCTTTAATGTTATGGATTGTGAAACACGTTGCAATGATGCAACCCTTTATAAAAGACTTACTCAGAAAGAGAGCAGCATTTTCTCAAGTTATGAAACAATCGGAATAATCAGCAGCCAATATAAATCTGCAGAAATAACCTTTAATTATATACAAATAAAAAAGTTAAGAATGTCTAATATTATTTCTTTTAAATTGTTCATAATACAGATTTTTTTTTTTAAAGGAAAGTGGGCTCTGCTGTTTTCCCGACTTTCTAATGACATGACACCCCTCCCCTCCCCTCCCTGTTATGTGGCCCCTCAATGGATCCTCCATTATTGTTACCAGCTTTCAACAGATGGCATTTTTCACACACTCTGATTAATGCAAGCAGTTTGCTTAAGAAAAAAAACGTTAAACTGTTTCCTCAGGGTGTGATTTACATACAAATACAGACATATGGTCAGGCCTTCCTCTGATTGTAGGAATAATACTTTATGTAAATATGGACAAAACGGTGTCATTGTACAAAAAAAGTGATTTGCTCTGAAGTGAATTCAGGGCCAGATTCACAAATACATGAAAAATGCAGTTTTCTCACATTAAGCATCAACAAATACCTCTTGATTATCAATAATTGGCAAAATCAATCATTAACTTAACTAGACAGATTTGTCATTTTGTTTACACAAGTGTAAAACAAAAATAAATTTCGTTTGGAACAGCTCTCTGGACAATTTCATTTTTTTTTTAAAGTGCAGCCTTGAAAAATAGTAAAAACAATATATATATATATATATATATATATATATATATATAAACAGTAATATAAACATATGACTGTAAATTTTACAGTTCTAACATATTTTTTTATTATATAATGATAAAATATAATAAATATAGTAAAATTGTTTGGATTTTTCTCAATTAATTCACATTTATCAACTTTAACCACTTTTAAAGTAGCTAATGTTAATTAAAATCAAAGTACATTTATATATCTAAAAACTTAATCTACTTTTACTTGAATGCAGAAAATCAGACTGGATCATGGATTAGTTTAGATTAAAAAGCGGCCAACTAACATTGCTCCGTCTGTCTTCTTCCATGTGCTTCTGTAAATATTCATGCTGCAAAGAGCCATTAGTTTTTCAACACTTTCAAGGTTTACTTTGGGGTGTAAACTCTGATGCTTAGTTTAAAGGTACAGTATCATCGAGAGAGCATAAATCACTAGTTTTATAGAAGCAGAGTCAAACCTATAATATTCCTCCTTTTTGAAGCCAAACATAGCCGACTGTCTGTGGGTAACTGGGCTTAAAATGGGTTTCTATGAAGCTTAACGTCAGCCTATAATTAGGTAATGAGTCTGAGGGAGAACACCCAGTGCAGGGTCAAGGTCTTTGTGCTCCAAACAGAGCAGGTTTGCCTCTGCTGATCCTGCAGCTGCATTCAGTGACTCTGTAATCAAACCCAAGCTGCTATTTGTGGCCTCAGGGAAGAGAGAGGACTGTAATAAATAACCTTTATAAGGAGGAGCAACTCAAGGTGTTCAGAAAAATATGGAGAGGCTCAATTTTTCATTTGTTTTACTTTCAGTGTTTGCACAAACGGACGATGAACCTTGAGTGAACTGAACATTTCAGCACCGACAAGGAAAAACCCTACTGCTGTCAGGCTGCAGAGCTCCTGGGAATTCTCACAGCCGGATGCATTTTTTCAGGAAGCTCAGGGCGGCTGAAGTACAACACAGCAGAAGGAGTGTGTGGTGGTCCGGTGAAAGACCTGAGCAGCAGGTGTCTACAGCAACATTTAAAAAAGGAAGACCTCCCAGCAGTTTGTTCTGACTGCTGGGTTTAGATAAAAAATAAAATAAAAATATGGGCCCTTAAGACTAGGATGTTAACAGATGTGCTGAATCTGGAAGCTTTGTTTAAAGGGCTCATAGAA